TTGAGATTACGGTGTTGGAAAGGGTAACAAATGGCAAAATATCTATCATAAGACAGCAGTGTTACAAAGGGCTATAGATGAAATAATACCCACATGACATGTGTACATTATGGGAGTAAGAACTGCTCGGGTTGAGTTCCCCATATATAAGAAATCAAATTCATTTTGTGTTGTAAAAGCCACATATTGCTTATCAGTGGCAATTGAAATCAAGACCATCAAATCTGCAACTGCCAAATTACTCAAGTAGAAATTAGTGGATATTCCACATGGAGGGAACTCTGCAAATGGTAAAGAAAAAAGACAGAATGGATAGGATCCCTAGCAGTTTGAGGGCAGGCAGGACAAAACCATACAGTACGGTCTTTGTGTTGGAATACACATGCTTGTCAGCCTCTGCCGGATTCTTAAAGCAATGATTTGCAACGAGTGGTTCAACAGTTTGTATCTTTCATTGCTTGGTGCATCGTTGGATTCATTCATCGGTGCCCAGGGAGATGGTCCCGTTTCATCCCAGATCAGAAGATGATCCATCTGGATTACGGAATAGGCCACGGAGCAGTTGTCACTGTGGTTCTGGAAGGCACAGGTGAAAAAGGTACAGACCAGAATGTCCAGCTGAGCAAAGGACGTTGCAGCTTGGGCATAGACGGTGACATTTGCGGTGAGCGACCACATGATTGACAAAGAGTCTTGATGCTACCCGTGACTGTGCAGAAGTGTCAAATACTAGTAAATCCAATTGTTCAGTGTCCTGTACCGATAACGTGGGGCAGAGAAACCCAGCAGAAGTCTGCTCCCTGAATGACGAGCTGAACAAAGAAGTGGTTCGCAGATGACAACGAAATCTAGCGAGACAAGTATGAATGGTGAGGATGACTGGAGGTTTATTCAGCAGCAGTACAGTTGGGAATTACAAGCTAACAGCTTGCCTCTCAAATATGATACATGGAACAAAGTTTTTTTTCAGAAGCACACGCACCAGAAGTACAATTGTAACTAACAACTGCTCACGGGGCCATGTACTTTGGTAAAGTTTACAGTATTGTAGGTTATGACCCAAGATAGTAATGTAGCCAGGTCTATCTGGATAGTTTCGACTTCCTATTTGGTAGGAAAAAAATTGGAATCTGCATTCGAAGTCTGTTTTCGAAGACTGAGTTGTCAGATCTAGTGGCCCTCTCAAATCAACGGACAGCAAATGTGACACCAATTGGTCACTGCTTTGTGTTTTCTTGGAGGAAGCAACAGAGGAAGCAAGACCTGTCCATAGCATGAGACGTCAATTTCCAGAGAGAAGTGATGGCCCGGTTAACTGGCTGGCTTAAGATGAGAACTGACTTCAAGTTTGATTGCTGGTTTAGTTGTCATTGAGAGAGTGCATACATGCATGGACAAGTGTTCCGGGATCAAGGCACCATGCGCTGTGTACTTATAGCAAGTTGGACCAACGACGCACTGTGATGTGGCTGCTCAGGAAATGCACAATGATCTTGAAGAGCAAGTGTTCGATTTAAATACCTTCACAGGTGCACTGCATCGAAACTGACATGTACATGTATGTATGTGGTCACTTTCACTCTGCAATTTAACTTGAAGATAGAGTGCTTTATAAAAAGAAAAATCAAATGATGATGGGTGGTATCCCTTTTTATATCTTAACTTGTTAGCTTCTTTGTTTCGTACTCTTGGAGTAGATTTTCTCACAAGAACATTGCCTCAAAACCGATTCCATGTTATTAATAAATTCACACGTTTACAAGCATTAAGACAAAAATTGAAAGAAAAATATTGAAAGTACGGCATGGCCTTTCAATGTGTACTTTTGTATTGTGAAGTTCTTAAAATAAGTCGGTTGAAAGTGTAACCATCTTGAGATTGCTGATCAGTCAATTTTTCCTTGTTAAGGGGCCATTCCAAATTTCTGATGTTTTAAAATTTCCAAATTGTTTTGACCCACCCACCCACCCCAATTTTCGATCTTAAACTTTTGATTTTCCATTCAATAAAAAACATAACAAATGTTCATTTCATTGACGGTGGAATGCAGCTGCAGTCCGTATACAGTACCTTTGCAACAACACGGCCCACTGGCATTCCCGTACGTATAGGAATCCACCTGGAAACACGTACATGTACAACTAGTCCATTCTAAATGGTAATAAAAGTGTCAGTTCGCTTAAAAAAAACTAACTTTTGTCTTGGCGTAAAGAGGTGTAATATTATTCATGAAGTTTATTTAGAAATTTCTGTCGTTTTTGATAAAAAAAAAAATTGAACTCTCAACTCGCGCTTTCCAGACGTGGGGGCACTGCCATGTTCATTGCATGCATACATGTACCATGCGCATGCGATATGTATTCAGGTTGCTTAAGTAATCTTGAACACAAGTAGGTTTATTTCGTTGTCACGATTCGCTACCGACACTCGTGGCATGTATTTAGACAAAATGAACGTGGTATCCTGCTCCCTTTGCACAGTGCACTGAATTTACGCATGCTTTTAAGTCTAACTTCACTGGTCCCCATGCATATGGTGCTCCGATGGACGTAATACACGGTACATTGTACATTGTACCGGATGCATACTGTATCCGTACGGTACAGGCAAAGGTTTACAAATCGGAATGCAGAGAGTTGAATTGGCAAGTCAAAAGAGCTATTTTCTATCTTTTTAATTGAAAAAGTGAATTTCGATTTACAAAAATTTCAATATATCAATTTGACCCACCCACTTTTTGGAGAAAAAATCATCAAAATTTGAAAACATCCAAACTTTTGAATGTGCCCCTAAAGGACTTTTGCAGAACCACTCTGAAAGTGGCTATAATAAGAGGGCACTGTTTACAATATGAACCAGAAGGAAGTGATGGCTCTTACATTTCATTGGTTCCCATCCACAACTTCTCATTCATTAGCATTGAAGAATCCTTGCATATCAATGAACCCAGAGTCATTATATTATGAATATGGCAAAGATGGTGATAATGTTCCCTCCCCTAACAAAATGGGGCAGTTATGCAAGCCCCTCTCCCACGAGCCATCTATGTTTCAATACACCATATCCAGTTGCAAATTATATGGTACCAGCCCTTCCCCTGCACCTTTTTCATTTTAGGTCAGAAAATTGGATGGGAACAATTTTCAAGTTGAGTTATCGATGTTGGAATAGTTCAGCTTTCAAGATTTGGGGTAGCGGCGATGTGTTAAGGCCCAACAGAAAACCCTTGGAGGTGGTACTGTGTGTATTTATTTGAAAATTCCCCCTTACAGGATTGGTGGAGAAAGGGCCGGTGGGTAGGGAGGCAGTAACAGATCTAGAGAGGGGAGGGGGTGGGGCAGAAGGGGTGGGGGCTGGGGTGTTGCAACTCCCCCATTCAGTCGCTAACTAATAAAACTAATGAAATGGGGTCAAAATAATATGCAGCAGTGGCGTAGCACGGTCATTTTTATTGGGGGACCAATTTTTGAAAAGGGCACTTGCACATCTGGGGTAAAATGGCGTCAGTTTTTTTTCTCCGAACACTTGGCCTCCGTAAAATCCAAAGGGGGGGGGGGCCTGGTACCATCTCGATGGGGGCGTTGTTCAAAACCAAAGATTATGCACACAAAGGGCCAATATTTGGTGCTTTTCAGGGCGATATATGTGCGAAATTCAGAAAAGGCTCCAAAAACGGCAGATGCAATCAAAATGGGAACCACTTCTTTTTGGAAAGGGCACTTCGTAAAAAAAAGGACACTCTTCACAAATTATACGGGGGGGGGGGGGGTAAGCTTGTTGAAAAAAGGGCATTTAAAGGGAAAAAGGCAGTCTTTACAAAATATTGGGGGGGGGGTAAGCTTATTGAAAAAAGGGCATTTAAAGGGAAAAAGGCAGTCTTTACAAAATATGGGGGGGGGGGGGGTAAATACCCCCCCCCCCCATTACGGCTATGTACAGAAAGCTGAAGTTCCTTAATTGTTCTGGAATTGCTTAGAATGCAGGAGAAGATATCGTAGATAACAAATTACCAGGGGAACCCCCAAGAATCAAACCCCCACCCCTAAAAAATCCCCCCCCCCCATTTCCAAAGTTTTAATTTTGTTGTAGAATTGCCTTTAAATGCAGGAAAAATCATCATACAATTCAAATTTTCCAGAGGCTATGCCCCCTGACGCCCCCCCCCCCCACATCAGGGTGTGCCTTCAGCATGCATAACACTCAATCTCCTTTATATCCACCCCCCCCCCCCCCCATTTCCTGAAAGCTGGATCCACCCCTGGAACATTTACATTTTTCATCATTTTTCAGCAACATTTAGAATCAACACTCAACCCCCTTTTATATCAACACCCCCCCCCCCCCATTTCCCGGAAGCGGACATAATTTTTAACATTGTGTATCCATCATAAAAGTATTATACTTAATGACCATTCTTTAACAGATAACAATTTCACAGCAAGGTTTCTTGGAGACCCTTTTTTGTTACATTCTATTGCCAGCTTCACATTGAATCCAGAGAGAACCAATAGCATGCAAAGATTGTTGGCACACTGACAAACCAAATACAAAATGACAGCATGCAAGATACAAACTGTTTAATACAATACAATCTTCCAACAAATGTGACGTTTCCTATCTTTTTACATTGACACAATTCTCAGTTCTATGTACAGTGTACTTTGCAGATAACACGCAACAGAGTGTAGTGAATGAAGTTAAACAGAATTAATGAAGTTAAATCTGAAAGACTTTTCACTTGTGCAAATCAAAAATGAGATGTTAGATGAAGCTGAATTATCCCTTAAAACAGTGAACTTTGCCCCCCCCCCAAAAAAAAAAAACCAACTGAAGTGCTCAATTTGTAGAGAAGCTGAACAATGACAAAACGATCAATAACTATGGAAGTTTTGGAAGTTGCTATGGAACTTATAAAACTTTCGGAAGAGAGGATTGAATTTTAAAAAAAATTATATCGTTTTCCTTTTCCTTTTTTGAAGGAGTGGGGGGGGGGGGGGGGGTTGAGGGGGAGTTTTGTTTTTGGATCCTATGATCTGATCCTATCTGCAGGATCCGCTCTTGGTAATGTCTGCAGAGGGATATTGTTTGTTGGTACTTGCTGCCTCTTTCTGCAGCAGAAGGCTTGCTTAAAGGCCTTCCTGTACCTTCCACTACCAGCATTGAATATGACTGAATTTATGGAAGAGTTAATGACTCTGAGGCAAGCAGTCATCAAAATAAACTTCCATTTCACATCATCATTTACATCCAGTTCTTCCCTGATTCGCACTAAAATTCCCATTAGGGCAGATATAGCTTGGGGCAGAAAACAGACAAATACCACGGCTGTGTTAATGCCAAGTATCAGAGTAACTCTTCGTAGATGTTTTGACGGACCTCGGATCTGATCACCAGTTGGATTTGGTGCATGCAGTCCTTTAATAAGGAGCATGTTGAAAGTGACTGTGAGGATCAAACTCAACATGAATACACAGAAATACATGTACGGGAAAACCATATTCAAAGTGAGCCATGTTGCATCATTGCTCAAAAACAACCGCACATTACTTGATAGATGTTTATACTTTTCTTCAGTTGGCCAAACAAGACATTTGATTGGTGGTCCATTCAAGGTCAGATATTGACAAAAGAAATCAGTCAAATTCATGAGAAAAGACAAAAACCATATGCAAACTGCTGCTCGCATTGCCCGTCGCTTCAGATTGAGATTACGGTGTTGGAAAGGGTGACAAATGGCAAAATATCTATCATAAGACAGCAGTGTTACAAAGGCTATAGATGAAATAACACCCACATCCCTAGTGTAGATTAAGAGAGTAAGAACTGCTTGGGCTGAGTTCCCCAAATATGATACATCCCAGTCAATTTGTGTTGTCAAAGCCACACATTGCTGATGAGTGGCCTCTGCAATCAAGACCATCAAATCTGCAACAGCCAAATTAGTCAGATAGAAATTAGTGATATTCCGCATGGAGGTAACTCTGCAAAGGGTAAAGAAAAAAGACAGAATGGATAGGATCCCTAGCAGTTGAAGGACAGGCAGGACAAAACCATACAATATAGTCTTAGCATTGGAATACACATGCTTGTCAGCCTCTGCCGGATTCTGAAAAGCAAGGATTCGCAACGAGTGGTTAAACAGTTTGTATCTTTCATTGCTTGGTACATCAAAGGATTCGTTCATCGGTGCCCAGGAAGATGGTCCCATTTCATCCCAGATCAGTGGATGATTCCTCTGGGGAAAGGAATAGGCCACGGAGCAGTTGTCGCTGTGGTTCTGGAAGACACAGATGAAGAAGGTACAGACCAGAATGTCCAGCTGTGCAAGGGACGTTGCAGCTTGGGCATAGACGGTGACATTTGCGTAGTACAACAACATGATTGACACAGAGTCTTGCTGCTTGTGTGCAGCCTCTTGCTGTGTCTAGTATGTGATTGTTCAGTGTCTTGTACAGATAACGTGGGGTGGAGAAACACAGCAGAAATTTGCTCGCTGGATGGATAGCTGAACGACAGATTGGTTTGCAGATGACGGCAAAATCAAGCAAGACAAGTTTGACTGCTGGATACCTGCAGGTTTGTTCAGCAGCAATGGGTTTGCCTTTCAAAAAGTACACTGAAAACTAAACTTTGTACAAGTACATGAAGTAACATCTAAAATAGAAGTTGCTGTTCCACAATACAGTTTCAGATAGTTTATCACCAAAGACTTTTGTAGCCAGTGTTCTGTGTATTTCACTGCTTCCAATTCAATAGGAAAAAGAATTGGAGTCTGAACAAGAACTATTTGTCCTCTTAAGTCAATTTATTGACAGCCAATGTGAAGCAAAGTTGTCACCCATTCATGTGTTTGGAGTAGACAACAGCAAGGGCCGTCCATAACACGTGCGGCCAATTTTGCTTAGAGATCTGATGGCTCTGGTGAACTGGACGGCCTGAGATGAGTACTGACGTAAAGTTTGATTGCTGGTTGACTTGAAATGGAGAGAGTGCATAAGCGTTACAGGCTCAAGGTGCAGTGAACACCATGCATTGTTGAGTTCAGACTTTGGAACAGTGATGTACTGTGATGAGGCTGGTGAGAAAATGCAAAATGATCTTGATGATCAAATTTTCCATTTAAATACTTTCATTGGCACATCACATCGAAACTGACATACTTTTGGTCAAATTCCCTGTACAAAGTTAACTTGAACACAGAGTGCTAAAACTGAAATATTTTAAATGACCAAATGCCAAATCAAAACTGACAAAGTAAACTTTCAACCTGCTTATGTTGTATATAACAAGAAACTAATCACATGATGATTGTGATCCCTTTTGATTTTTAAACATGTGGCTTTTTTTGGTTTTTTGTTTGTTTTCTCTCGAAATTCGATTATTTTATCAATAAAGTTGCCTCAAAACTGATACCTTGTTATTTACATATGAATTCATATGTAAGCATTCAGATAAATATTTAAAGTTCAACTAGGCCTTTCACTTTGCACTTCAGTATTGTGCAAGTTCTAGATAAGTGAACAATTTAACCATCCTGGGATCACTTATCAATAAAGTTTGTTTTCATTAAATATCGTACAACAAATCTGTACGTGGCCCCAGCGGAGGTAGCCTTATTCAACAATTTTTGATTGACAGCTCAGGTCACCAGCCTCCATTCATTACTTCTAGTTGGACACGCCCACCACAGACCACAAACTGACTCTTGAGAATTGCCAGTCCACAGTCTACTATACAGGGTGGCCCCCAATGGCATACTCCCACTACCTTGAGACTCAAACCACCTGTACCAATGGATGGAGAATCTTCTTAGATGAAATATGATACAATCAGGCGTGGATCCAGAGGTGGGCCGCGGGGGCATGTGCCCCCCCCGTCAAATTGAGTCCACAAAAAAATGAATAAAACAGGGGGGAAAAAGAGGGGGAGGTGAGAGAAATGGAGGGAAGGAGGAGGGCAACCTTCTAACAAAAATGCCGGCGCCGATATTAAACATCAGCGGCCTGCAAACATTGTGTACTGGCCATATGACACAGGGAACTCGAGAAGCTTCGAAATAAACCACGATCCCACCGTACGTATCCATTTGTAACCCTGCATGGTATATGGGTTATGAAATGTGATTCATATGAGCGTACGTACCGGTGTCACATGAAAATCCGACTCCTATGAAAATCGGACCCCTATTTCCCTATTATTGGTTGATCCCTCGCACGTGTCACTCTAGCTCTCCCGAAACGATCCTAAAAATAGCATAGTATCGTACTCACGCGTGCGCAGTACTATACCAATGAGTCCACATTTCATGGAGTCGGATATTCACGCTACACCTGTACGAAAAACACGCACGTGTGACAGCCGATGTGCTGTGTTTAGCGTAGCCTTGTTCAATGCGGTCTCTCGGCTTTTTGTCTAAGGGAGATAATCGGGCCCTGCACCCACAATCAACGCGGCTACGTGCGTGTACCACCGGCCCTTGTCCGTAAGTACGGACTGTACGCATGGTGTAATAAGGCAGTAAGGAGCCATTCAGAATTTTCAATGTTTCAAATTTACTGGACTGCCTCCGTAAATAAAGGTTACACTGCCACCATGTACAAAAACGTGTCGCACTTTGTCAAATTTTGATTTTCAAATTTAGGCTTAGTTTGTAGTTTATTTTTGCTTTAGAAGCATACTCACCCTCTTTATAGGCTAATCAGAAAGTGCTGCCTTTTTCAGGTGCCCATTTTTCGTCCATTTTTCCATTTCAACATGACATTTTACGAAAAATAGACATCTGAAATAGGCAGCACTTTCGTCTAATTAGCCTATAAAGGGGGTGAGTATGCTTCTTAAGCAAAAATGAACTACAAACTAGCAGTGGCTGCAATATGCACTGCAGTACCTTGTAAACCATTATAAGGTGCTACATAATGGGTCTCATATTTCTCATAAACTTTATTTACCTTTCTTTAATAATTGACATAATTTCCAGCGCCTTGAGTACCTAATTGTTGGTAGATACGTGTGCTATATAAGACTCCGTTATTATTATTATTTGTATATGGTGGCAGTGTGGCCTTTATTTACTGAGGCAGTCCAGTAAATTGGCCACATTTATGGGGCTATTTCTGGATGAGGTGGATGACATGTGACATACGAGGTTGTGCCTGTCACGTGAGGTAGCTGAGAAAAACATTCCCTCGTACCCCCTGCCCTGTTTGCAGGGCGGGGGTACGAGCGAAAGAAAAACATCAGGTTTGGGCAGTCATCACATCACAGGCTGCGGTCCTCGTAGTCTTGGAGTCCAGTGGTTGAATAGTCCAGTTTTTATAGTGATTGGTAATCAACACCCGCGGCGTGTTATAGAGCCGATCTAGTACACCTGGTACCCTGCTGCCTCTGCGCGGCCTAACCGCTAGAAATAGAAACGCCCGGCATCCAAGTCTACTGAAAAACCACCTCCCTCTCATGCCACAGTGGGTCTATATACACGTACATGACGTACAATGTACATGTACAGTACATACAGGGGACCAAGTTGGAAAAGAAACACGCATCGCGATATCGAAACGCTTGCGCGTTGTTCAGGCAAGTCAAAAGATCTATCTTTCTTTGTTTTTTTTATCCTCTTTCCATGGAAAGTGAATTTCGATTTTCAATTATTTAGCTTGACCCACCCACCCACAATTTGGAGAAAAAAATTCTGAATGGCCCCTAAATGTAGGCCTACTATGTTCTGCGTGTGGGTGTACGTACATACGTGTGGGGGATATAAGCGCCGCGTTACCTGTCGAACGACAGGGTTACGCGGACTAGCTCATGCATGTACTGTGTGTGCATGGCTGTTGTACGAGTACGTGTGTGTACGTGCGTACGAACATGTACAAGCATAGCCTTGCCGTATGGTACAAGTTACTTTCTCACTAGCAGTGTACGGGCATCGATATGTGCACGCAATTATGCCTTGCCAAGTTGATTAGGGATTTTCTTATCGGCAATTTTTTTTATCGGCGAATCGATCAGCCCAACGCCTTGGTCAAGGCTATGTTTAGCGCGATGAGCGCGACATACACGTTGAACCACGGATCTGATCCGTGGTTGAACGCTGCTCTTTGGACCACACTATTAGTCAAGGGGTGTGTTTTCGTATAACAATTTGCCAGCATTTCTTCCACGCGCTTCCAAGAGTCCAAAACATGTCCGTTTCAGTAAAAAATGTCTGTAGAAAATCTTGTCTTATTGATAAACTGAAAATTTATACTTGATACAAAACATTAGAAAGTATCCTTGCAAAAGTTTACAAACTTAGTCTATACAATTCCATTTCAAAAATGCACAAAAACAATTATGCAAACGAAAATGGTTATATAGGGGAAAAACAGAAGAAACTTAAAAGGCTTGCTAAGGCAAGAGTATATATGTATATTAGACCAATGAAAAAAATCCTTATTTAACTTAAAACATTTTGCTCAAATAACTCAGGGAAAGAGGGGCCAGATATCACCTCAGATTGCACCACAGAGCATCCAATTATCAAACAAATTCCCGGGGCCCGCTTACCCCACGCCGAAAGACATTGCGCTCCGCATTATTAGTCCTCGGGGCAGACCTACCGACGCATTCTTAAAACAGTTTACAATCTAAACCTATCCAATTCCTTTACAAAAATAAAATGCAAGAAATTGAATGCAGTCGAAAATATTTGGTTATCAAGTGAAGAACAGAAGAAACTTAACTAGGCTTGTATTAAGAAATACAAGAATACAATTTCAAACCAATGAACAAAAAATAAAAAAAACACATGGTGTTACCGCAAACCGAAGCGATAATGAAAAAAAATCCTAATAATCTTCACAACATTTTGCTGAAATGAGGCCAGGAATCGCCTCAGTTTGCACCACAGAACATCTATAGAATCAAAAAATCAGTGGGCCCCGAACCCAACGCCGTAAGACACTGCTTCACGTTCGCATTAGTCCTTGGAGCAAATGCCTCAGCGCATCGCCCGTTGCAAAAGTTTACAATCTAAGTCAATACAATTCCTTTTTTTTTTAAATACAATGCAAGAAATTATGAAGATAAAAATACATGGTTTGCAACATTGAAGTACACAGTAGCTTAAAATTTGTAAAAAACAAGATTATATTTAAAACAAATCCTTACAAGATTATCAACTTTTGCACAAATAATTCAGGGGGAAAGGGGCCAGGAATCGCCTCAGATTGCATCACAGAGCATCTAGAATCCAAAATTTCCCGGGGCCCTTAAGCGGGCCCCGGACCCCACGCCGTAAGGGCTTCGCGCTCCGCGCTCGCATAAGTCCTAAGAACAAATGCTCTAGATGTGCCCCCCGTCTAAAGAAATCCTGGATCCGCGCCTGACAATGTTCTCCTGATTCTGTCCAGTAGTTTTTGCTGCAGATCCAATACTGTGAAGCACACATCTTTCATGGGGGTATTATTATACAAATATTGAGTGGCTCAGCATGGAATGGGAGGAATATTATCACAAGGTAATATCTGGACTTTTCTGTTTCAGGAGGCAAAGCTGCATGAAATGGAAAAGCCCAGATTTTACTGAGCGATGATATTCCTCCTACTTCACAATTCCTCCAAATTTCAAGTTCCTAAGTAAAGTATTTCTCAAGTTATCGTGCTGACAAGAGTTAACCTAACCAAAACATAACACACACACAGACATACATGTTTGTGTATGGTGTAAATCAAGACTTTTCTTTTGTTCCTCTTCCCAAATGTGTGACTAAAAAGGTTTTGAAGAAAAACTTCGGGCCAGAAAAATATTGGACCGCACTCTAGTCCTTCTACAAATTTCGCAACAGTTGTAATTATTTAACCCCAAATCTTGAAGACTGCCAACTCGGCGACCAAGACCAAGACCTGTACTTCCAAGGCCAAGAATTTTACTTTTTAGACCGATACGTTAAAATCCTTTAGACCAAAACCAAACTATGAAAAATGAAGACCTACATGTACATTAAATGATTGCAGTTAGATTTTAAATAACCCTAATGTCCCAAGGGCTCTTGGGGGTCAAGGACCAAAAATACCACAGAATACTACATGGGTTGTGCACACTTGTATGGAAAGAAATGCATACTACAGGTTACTACTCAGTAGTATTTTGTAGCTTTAGTTAAGGTAAGGGTTCATGGATGTACGATCATTGCTCAAGCCCATAAAGTATCACATTAATGGATGTATGATCGTCGTTCATAAAGTATCACAATGAATACAATTAGACTGCAGTTGCACTAACAACTGTGTCAAACTACAATGTATGACTAATACAAAATGCATTACCACGTGAAATTAATGGCTATTTATTGAGGTCATCACATTAGTTTTTATCCAGCTGAAGCTTCCAAGCTGAAGCTTCCATGTTTTTTCGAAACTAACTTGAAGTTTTGAACTTTTTTAACCTTGTAAGAATGACATGTTCATTAGTAACCATTTGTGGAAAAATGAAGTTAATCGCATTTACCATTTGCCTTTGTGAATCTTTTTACTGCGGTATCCGATTTACGTTTTTGTCCATGAGGCATCAGAATTTTGCATGAGGCCTACATGAAAATTGAATGATGGTTATTTGAATCACATGATGATGGGGACGTCCCGTTTGATTTCTAAACCAGGAACCAGAAGTTTCATTGTTGGGAGCTCTTAAAGTTGATTTTCTCACAAAACTTGCTTTGAAAACGAAAACATGTTGGAAAAAACTTTCACTATTAAAAAGTAATAAGTCTCCTAAACAAGGGAAACAATTGGAAGTGCAGCTAGGCCTGCAATCACGTAGGAATGCTTCACTTTTATATTGTGAAAGTTGATTGACTTCAGTTGAAAGAAATACTTCACTTTCGTAATGTGAAAGTTGACTGACTTCAGTTGGTAGTAACCAGTTCGTCATAGCCCGTAGCTCTGTCAACTCATTAAACTCCTCTGTGCATTAAATAAAGAGGGCGCTATTTACAGAAAGTAACACCCCCCTAATTATACCACAAAAATATGATGGTTCCTCTTTTTCAATGGTTCCCATTTCACACTTATCCTGTAACATTTAAGAATGACTGAACACCAGGGAAGGCGGGGTTTGTGCAGAATATGCTAATTTTCCCACACCTACGTGTACCTATCTTGAGGAGGTGGTTGTGCAAGCCCCTCCCCCCATGAGCCACCTATCATTCAATACACCAAATACTACTGGATATTTTATCGAACATCAGCTCTACTTTCCTCCACCTCCTTCCTTTTAGGTCAGAAAATTGAGTGGGATGAATTGTTAAGTGTTTTATCAATATTGGGATATTTTAGCTTTAAGCTTTGGGGTAGCAAGGATGTTGAGCCCTAACAGAAAACAATTTGATGTGCTACTCTGTCTTTACATTACAAATTTCCCCCTTACAGGGCGAGGCAGAGGGGGAAAGAAAGGGGACATGATATTCACCATTGCATGAATATACAATGCATTGTATATTCATTTTTCTTTCATAAATACCTAAGACAATTTACCCATTCCTATTGGTCTTTAACACTTTTCCAGTGTCACATGAAATTTGGACTCCTATGGAAATCCGATGCCTTTTAGTTTTATTGGTTGGACGTTCACAATCCTCATGTAGGAATGCAAAATACACTACCAGTGTGTCAGTATTTCATAGTCTTAAATTCACAATGCACCGGCACAGCTGCGTTTTGTGCCACCTCATGCCATTTCCATATAAGGAGTTGTTTATGATGATTCGTGAAAGAGACATAATATAGCTACAGGGGTGTCCCAAAAAACATGAAGTAAACTTGTTGAACAAAATCGTTGGAAATATATAATTTTTCTCTTGTTTTGACTTTTGGAACGAAAAGTTATGATTTTTTTACCGAAAAGGTATTTATGAATGGGAATAAATATGTGTTTGGCCGGTATTGAACACTATGTTTATGACCGGTTGGAGTCTGTATGCTGATAATGACCCGAGCCGAATATCAATATCCAGACTCCAACTGGCTTGAGTGTTTAAAACCGGCCAACAAAAATCATTTTACTAATGAAAATGTCACAGAAAGGCTTTCTTGGAGATCTTTCTTAAATTATGTCACCAGCATTATTTTTCTTGGAGATCTAATTACATTACTAGCATTCATGGCATTACCAATGAAATTAAATCAGAGGGAACCCATAGAAAACAAGGATTGTATAAAACAAGAACAAGTTCCAAAGTGGAATGACAAAGGAAACAGCATGGAAGATACAGTAAGTTTAATACCATTACAATCTTTGTACAAATGTAATACAATTCTTTTCAATTTTACATGGAAACAACAGGCAGTAATATCTGTCTATGCGGGTAGTTCTATGTACAGTGTCATTTACAGACATGTGACAATCAAAAGAGTGTTTAGACTTAATTTATTTTACATTGGAAATCTGTTGATTTGTGGAAATCGAAAATGCAGTGGTAGAAGGAGTTGAGTTATTTCTTTAAAACAAAGTAAGCCATGCCTCCCCCAATACAAAACTGACATCAGCAAATACCAGTGTTTCTCATTTGTGTTTCTCAATGATAAATAAATTACTATTCAGCTTTTGGAATTTAAAGAAACTTTTGGAAGGAGGATTAAGTGCTGAAACTAATCCTCCAGGTTCGGTTTGGTTCGGTTCATATCGGATTTTTTCCTCGAATATCAGTTCGGATCGGAAGTACATGTACAATGAAAATCATATATACATACATATGTACATACATACGTATGCCGGATCACGCTTTTAGTCGGCTTTTAAAAAGTCACCATTTCGCTCAAGTCGGTGTGTTACTCTCGGTCCCCTACAAAAAGCGCAACGAAATCTTTGTGTAAATCGGCATTTAGAAAATCACGCACTGGCATCGACTTCTTGCACTACGGTTGCGGTAACAAAATACATGAACATGTGCCACCACAGCGCGTATTATCAAAAAGGGGTTTCCCAAATACTAGCAATAATACTGCATTGTGAGCAACACCAGTAACCCCTCTTGCCTGCACGAATGTGCTCTGTCTATTTTGGGGGTCGCTTATCAAAGGACGCAGTGATGTTACTTTACCACACGCAACACGCATGCATTATACACATGGTCTACACTATAGCAATGCTACGTTGTACCGATTATGCACACCGAAGACGAAAAATCGCAGAGTTTAGCCCACCAAACAATGAAGATGAATATAGTGACTTGTTAACACTGTGAATTCAATCATCCATGCATTTCAATTTTAGCATTTCTAGCACTTTCAAAAAAATAGAATTTTTCCAAACTTCTGAACCAACAATTTCGGTTCAGTTCAGTTCGGTTCAGAATGCCATGTTTGGCTATATTCAGTTCGGTTTGGGGTTCAGCTACAGCACTATGAGGATAACATTACATGTATTTCTTTTCTTTTCTTTTCTCTCTGAAAGGGGAGTTTTGCTTTTGGATCCTATGATCTTATTCTATCTGCAGGATCTGCTCTTGGTAATGTCTGCAGAGGGATATTGTTCGTTGGTACTTGCTGCCTCTTTCTGCAGCAGAAGGCTTGCTTGAAGGCCTTCCTGTACCTTCCACTACCAGCATTGAATATGACTGAATTAATGGACGAGTTCATGATTAAGAGGCAAGCAGTCATCAGATCCAATTTCCATTTCACATCTTCATTTACATTCACTTCTTCGCTGCTTTGCACTAAAATTCCAACTAAGCCAGTTATAGCTTGGGGCAGAAAACAGACAAACACCACTGCTGTGTTGATGCCAAGTATCAGAGTCACTCTTTGTAGATGTTTTGACGGACCTCGGATCTGATCACCGGTTGGATTTGGTGCATGCAGTCCCTTAATAAGGAGCATATTGAAAGTGACTGTGAGGATCAAACTCAACATGAGTACACAGAAAAACACATAATGTACAACCAGATTCAAAGTGCCCAAAGTTGCATCATTATTCAAAAACAACTGCACATTACCTGATAGATGTTTATACTTTTCTTCAGTTGGCCAAACAAGACATTTGATTGGTGGTACATTTAAGGCCAGAAACCGATCAAAGAAAACAATCAAATTAATGGAAAAAGACAGTACCCATATGCAAACTGCTGCTCGTATTGCCCGTCGCTTCAGATTGAGATTACGGTGTTGGAAAGGGTAACAGATGGCAAAATATCTATCATAAGACAGCAGTGTTACAAAGGCTATAGATGAAATAACACCCATATTGCATGTGAACGATAAGAGAGTAAGAACTGCTTGGGCTGAGTTCCCCAAATATGATACATCCAATTCAGTTTGTGTTGTCAAAGCCACACATTGCTCATGGGTGGCCTCTGAAATCAAGACCATCAAATCTGCAACAGCCAAATTAGTCAGATAGAAATTAGTGATATTCCGCATGGAGGGAACTCTGCAAAGGGTAAAGAAAAAAGACAGAATGGATAGGATCCCTAGTAGTTTAAGGACAGGCAGGACAAAACCAAACAACACAGTCTGAGTACTGGAATACACAAACTTGTCAGCCTCTGCCGGATTCTGAAAAGCAACGATTCGCAACGAGTGGTTCAACAGTTCGTATCTTTCATTGCTTGGTACATCAAAGGATTCGTTCATCGGTGCCCAGGGAGATGGTCCCGTTTCATCCCAGATCAGTGGATGATCCATCTGGGGAAAGGAATAGGCCACGGAGCAGTTGTCGCTGTTGTTCTGGAAGACACAGGTGAAGAAGGTACAGACCAGAATGTCCAGCTGAGCAAGGGATGTTGTAGCTTGGGCATAGATGGAGACATTTGCATCGTACGACCACATGATTGACACAGAGTCTTGCTGCTACCTGTGTCTGTACAGACGTGTCAAATACTAGTAAATCCAACTGTTCAGTGTCTTGTACAGATAACGTGGGGCAGAGAAACACAGCAGAAGTTTGCTCCCTGAATGCAGAGCTGAAGAAAGTGGTTCGCAGATGACAACGAAATCTAGCGAGACAAGTATGAATGGTGAGGATGACTGGAGGTTTATTCAGCAGCAGTACAGTTGGGAATTACAAGTTCAAAGCTTGCCTCTCAAATATGATACAGGGAACAAAGTTTTTTTCCAGAAGTACACGCACCAGAAGTACAATTGTAACTAACAACTGCTCACGGGGCCATTTACTTTGGCAAAGTTTACAGCACCATAGGTTATGACCAAAGATGTTAATGTAGCCAGGTCCTTCTAATTAGTTTCGACTTCCTATTTGGTAGGAAACAAATTGGAATCTGCGTTCGAAGTCTGTGTTCGAAGACTGAGTTGTCAGATCTAGTGGCCCTCTCAAATCAACGAACGGCAAATGTGACACCAAGTTGTCACTGCTTTGTGTTTTCTTGGAGGAAGCAACAGAGGAAGCAAGACCTGTCCATAGTATGGGACGTCAATTTCCAGAGAGAAGTGATGGCCCCGTTAACTGGCTGGCTTGGGATGAGAACTGACTTCAAGTTTGATTGCTGGTTTAGTTGTCGTTGAGAGAGTACATACATGTATGGACAAGTGTTCCAGGATCAAGGCACCATGCGCTGTGTACTTATAGCAAGTTGGACCAACCACGCACTGTGATGTGGCTGCTCAGAAAATGCACAATGATCTCGAAGAGCAAGTGTTCGATTTAAATACTTTTACAGGGTGCACTGCATCGAAACTGACATGTACATGCATGTATGTGGTCACTTTCACTCTGCAAGTTTAATTTGAAGATAGAGTGCTTAACTTACTGACAAACTAACTTTCACCCTGATCATGTTTTACAAAAAATAAAGAAAAATCACATGATGATGGGTGGTATCCTTTTGATATCTGAACTTGTAGCTTCCTTGTTTCATTCTCTTGAGTTGATTTTCTCACAAGAATGTTGCTTAAAAACCGATACCATGATATTAATTAACATATAAATTCACATGTGTACAAGCATTAAGACAAATATTGAAAGTATGGCCTAGCCTTTCAATGTGCACTTTTGTATTGTGTAAGTTCTTAAAATCAGCCATATGGTTGCGAAGGGCAATTTCTAAAGGTTATGTAACACTTTATTTTGAATGAAACTACATGTACACAGACATGGTCACGTTGGTGGGTGAAATATTTGAAAATTAATTTCTCCAGTTTGGAAGACCGTATCTTCATGCAACTTTCAGGATTTATTTCCCCTATAATGATCAAGTATGTGCTAAAAGTTGTTGTGATACATGTATGTTCATTACTTTTCGTTGAAATCAGAAAAACGGGCCTCGCTACGTGCAATTTTGAAAACTGTAACACTGGCGTGCGCAATATCTATCAATCATTTTAAGCCTCACGAATATTAATGAGGTTCCTATCCATTACGATGTGCAGTAAACAATGGGATAAAAGCCTCCTTTTCGAGTTGTTAATTAACAAATATCACCCTTTTTGCCGGCTTCTATTGGTTGATACCGAGACCCACGCCATGTCACGCCGAGTGATGCTAATGAATATATGCCCGTCATCATTGTGTTGCTGAATAATGTACATGGGTTGGGTCGGCAAATAATTTTTTTGATTTTCTTCGAAAATTTCCACGGAGATTGTTCACGTTGCAACACAAGCCTCTGCAGCAACAGATTAAGCTGAAATTCGGAATATATTTAGATGATATAAGTGTTCAACTACTCGTGAAATAACAACTAGGATAAATTCCTAGAAATTGGGATAAATACATACATTTGGGGAAGTTTTGAACGATTTCTTCCAGACTTGAAGGTCAGCTTTGACAGTAACCAGTATTGCGGTTTCGGCATCGATGATGGCGAGTTTTCACTGACATGAAGTTTAGAATTTCTTCTTCAGTTAGAATGTAACATTCAATCACACCAAGCATATTTTCTGAGAAACACAACGTTCAAAATGCCATGTTTTTGGTGGTGCATGAATTTCACTGCTCCGTTATAGCATCTAAGTACGTATTAGGAGCCGTTCACAATTATCAACATTTTCACGAGCGTACAAACCGTACGCTGGGGGGGGGGGGAGGGGGTAAATGGCCGCCGTACGCTTTTTTTTTTTTTAATTGTCGATATGTTTTCTCGCCCGTTAATGCCCGCCTAACGCTTTTTTTTTTTTACTAAATGTCGATCTGTTTTCTCGCCCGTCGCCACAGCCGACAGCACTTGCCGAGCCAGTCGCGCCCCGCGCCAGGCCCCACATTGCATCCCATGAACGTATTGTGTACAGCATGCGCGGCATTGTACTACACACGTACATGAAAATGTACTGTATGTACATGTACAAGTATAGTCCGTATCCACTGCGTGTTTTTAATGGCCGGTGTCACATGAAAATCCAACTCCTATGAAAATCGGACCCCTTTTTCCCTTTTATTGGTTAATCCCTCGCACATGACAGGTCACTCTCTCCAAACGATCCTAAAAATAGCGTAGTATCGTACTCACACGTGCGCACTGTACTACTACCAATTAGTCCACATTGCATGGAGTCGGATATTCACGCTACACCGGTTGAACAACACCGGCACTGGCAATGGCGGACAATAAATATTCTAGCTGCGCTGTTGACTCGGATCAATTGTTGAAATTCCTCATTCGACAAGGATGTATTGTCCACAAGAATCCGACCAACAAATACATGGAGTTTGTACATGCTTTTGTGTTTGTGAATGATCAACGCAAACAAGCAGATGTCGTAATCGTATGTGAGGGACAGAGATTGTGGCGGAATGCAGACCATGAAAAGCTGTTCGACGAACATGTGACGAAGTCATATGCAAGTGTCTATATATAGACTTGTGTGAAAAAAATTCAACAATTTTTTTCGTACACTTTTAGGGGGGAGGGTCTTGAAAAAGTGTACGCTTTGTACACTTGTGAAAATGTTGATAATTGTGAACGGCCCCTGATCGGATTAGTTTTGCCTAACAACGGTGACGCATTGCGGTTAGCAACCATATGGCTGAAATAACTTGGTTGAAAGTGTAACCATCTTGAGATCGCTGATCAGTCAATTGTTTTCCTTGTTTAATAAGGGACTTTTGTAGAACCACTCTGTATGTGACTTTAAAGAGGGCACTGTTTACAATATGAACCATAAGGAAGTGATGGCTCGGATAGGGGAGCGGAGATGGGGAGGGGAGATGGGAGGGGGTGGGGGAGGGGAGATGGGAGGGGGAGGGGCAGATACGGTTCTACGGGGAGGGGGGCTGTGGCCCCCAAAATGTTGTCTAGCCCCCCCCCCCCCAAAAAAAAGAAATTCCATAAAAAAAATGGCAGTAGCAAATGTTAGAAAGTGACATCACAAGCAAACTGTCTCTCCTGCCAAAAAGAACAGTCATTAGAAGGGGAATTTGTACCCTATTAGGTAACATAGTGTGCAGGATTTTATCAGCACTCCCCATTGAAAATATGGTATGAGCTCCCCCCCCCCCCCATTGATTTTCGGAGGCCTAAGTGTCTGGAGAAAATAACCAGTCTACATTTCAGCACGCCTCACTGCACTGCAAAAAATTCAGGATCCACCCCTGGTAGCCTCCCCCCCCCCAAATAAAAATAGGCTCTAGGGGAGGTGGAGGGGGTGTTGCAACTCACCGGTTGATTTAACTAATCAAACTAATAAGATGGGGCCAAAATAATATACAGAATGCTGAAGTTACTAAATTTGTTCTGGAATTGGCTTAGAATGCAGGAGAAGACATTGTAGATAAAAATCCCAGGGGGAACTCCCCCCCCCCATCAACCCCCCCCCCCCTTTAATTCAACCACTCCCCTCATTTGCAAAAGTTCCTTATTTTGTTGTTGAATTGCCTTACAATGCAGGAAAATTCATCATAGACTTTTTCCAGAGGCCATGCCCCCTGACTCACCCCCCCCCCCCCTATCAGGGCGTGCCTTCAGCATGCATAACACTCAACCCCCTTTATATCACCCCCCCCCATATCCTGAAAGTTGGATCCGCCCCTGGAAGCGGACATAATTTGAAGCGACGTGAATCCATCATAAAAGTATTATACTTACTAACAATTCTTTAACAAATAACAATGTCACAGCAAGGTTTTCTTGGAGACCCTTTGTTGTTACATTCTATTGCCAGCTTCACATTGCATTCAGAGAGAACCAATAGCATGCAAAGATTGTTGGCATACTGACAAATGAAACACAAAATGACATCATGCAAGATACAAACTGTTTAATACCATTACAATCTTCCAACAAATGTGACGTTTCCTATCTTTTTACATAAATTTAAACAATTCTCAGTTCTATGTACAGTGTACTTTGCAGATAACACGCAACCATGTGGCAACAGAGTGTAGTAAATGAAGTTAAACAGAGTTACTGAAGTTAAATCTGAAAGGCTGTTCATTTGTAAAAATCAAAACATGAGATTGTAGATGAAGCTGAATTATTCCTTTAAAAAAAAGGTGAACCACGCCCCCCCCCCCAAAAAAAAACTGAAGTGCTGCAAATAACACTATTTCTTATTTGTAGAGAAGTTGAACAATGACAGAACGATCAATAACTATGGAAGTTTTGAAAGTTACTATGGAATTTATAAAACTTTTGGAAGAGGGGATTGAATTAAAAAGAAGAAATTATATCGTTTTCCTTTTCTTTTTTTTAAGGGAGGGGGGAAGGGAGTTTTGCCTTTGGATCCTATGATCTGATCCTATCCGCAGGATCTGTTCTTGGTAATGTCTGCAGAGGGATATTGTTCGTTGGTACTTGCTGCCTCTTTCTGCAGCAGAAGGCTTGCTTAAAGGCCTTCCTGTACCTTCCACTACCAGCATTGAATAGGACTGAATTAATGGAAGAGTTGATGACTCTGAGGCAAAGAATCATCAAATTCGACCCCCATTTCACATCATCACTTACATTCACTTCTTCCCTGCTTTGCGATAAACTTGCAATTAGGGCCAATATAGCTTGAGGCAAAAAACAGACAAATACCACGGCTGTGTTGATGCCAAGTATCAGAGTAACTCTTCGTAGATGTTTTGACGGACCTCGGATCTGATCACCAGTTGGATTTGGTGCATGCAGTCCCTTAATAAGGAGCATATTGAAAGTGACTGTGAGGATCAAACTCAACATGAATACACAGAAAAACATGTAATTTCCAACCAGATTCAAAGTGTGCATAGTTTCATCATCATTAAAAAACAATTGCACATTACCTGATAGATGTTTATACTTTTCTTCAGTTGGCCAAACAAGACATTTGATTGGTGGTACATTCAAGGCCAGAAATTGACAAAAGAAAGCAATCAAATTCATGAAAAAAGACAGAAACCATATGCAAACTGCTGCTCGTATTGCCCGTCGCTTTAGATTGAGATTACGGTGTTGGAAAGGGTGACAAATGGCAAAATATCTATCATAAGACAGCAGTGTTACAAAGGCTATAGATGAAATAACACCCACATCCCAAGTGTACATTAAGAGAGTAAGAACTGCTTGGGCTGAGTTCCCCAAATATGATACATCCAAGTCAATTTGTGTTGTCAAAGCCACACATTGCTGATGAGTGGACGCTGAAATCAAGACCATCAAATCTGCAACTGCCAAATTAGTCAGATAGAAATTAGTGACTTTACGCATGGAGGCAACTCTGCAAAGGGTAAAGAAAAAAGACAGAATGGATAGGATCCCTAGCAGTTTGAGGACAGGCAGGACAAAACCATACAATACAGTCCTTGTGTTGGAATACACAAACTGGTCTGCCTCTGCCGGATTCTTAAAAGCAACGATTCGCAACGAGTGGTTCAACAGTTTGTATCTTTCATTGCTTGGTACATCAAAGGATTCTTTCATCAGTGCCCAGGGAGGTGGTCCCGTTTCATCCCAGATCAGTGGATGGTCCATCAGGGGTGGGGAATAGGCCACGGAGCAGTTGTCGCTGTGATTCTGGAAGACACAGGTGAAGAAGGTACAGACCAGAATGTCCAGCTGAGCAAGGGACGTTGCAGCTTGGGCATAGACGGTGACATTTGCGTAGTACCACCACATGATTGACACAGAGTCTTGCTTCTTGTGTGTAGCCTTTTGCAGTGTCTAGTATGTGATTGTTCAGTGTCTTGTACAGATAACGTGGGGTGAAGAACACAGCACAAATTTGCTCGCTGGATGGGTAGCTAAACAACAGATTGGTTTGCAGATGACGACAAAATCAAGCAAGACAAGTTTGACTGCAGGATACCTACAGGTTTGCTCAGCAGCAAGGCAGTTTGCCTCTCAAAAAGTACACCGAAAATTAAACTTTGTACAAGTACATGAAGTAACACCTGAAATAGAAGTTGCTGTTCCACAGTACAGTTTCAGATAGTTTCCCACCAAAGACTTTTGTAGCCAGTGTTCTGTGTATTTCACTGCTTCCAATTTAACAGGAAAAAGAATTGGAGTCTGTACAATTTATTGACAGCTAATGTGATGCAAAGTTGTCACCCGATCATGTTATGGAGTCGGCAACAGCAAGGGCTGTCCATAATACGTGCGGCCAATTTTACATCGAGATCTGATGGCTCCGGTTAACTGGACGGCCTGAGATGAGAACTGATGTCAAGTTTGATTGCTGGTTTACTTGAAAAGGAGAGATTGCATAAGCGTTACAGGCTCAAGGTGCAGTGAACACCATGCATTGTTGGGTTCAGACTTTACTTGAAAAGGAGAGATTGCATAAGCGTTACAGGCTCAAGGTGCAGTGAACACCATGCATTGTTGGGTTCAGACTTTGGAACAGTGATGTACTGTGATGAGGCTGGTGAGAAAATGCAAAATGATTTTGACGTTCAAATTTTCCATTTAAATACTCTCATTGGCGCTTTCACCCTGATTATGTTGTATATAAAAATTTCAAACATGTGGCTTTTCTTGGTTTTGTATTTGTTTGCTCTTAGAATTGATTTTTGTTTTTCATCAAGAAAATTGCCTCAAAACTGATACCTTGTTATTTACATATAAATTCACGTTAGCAGACATGTTGCTTATCTTGGTTTTGTTTCTGTTTGCTCTTAGAATTGATTTTTTTGTTTTATCAAGAAAGTTGCCTCAAAACCGATACCTTGTTATTTACATGTAAATTCACATGTTAGCATTCAGATAAATATTTAAAGTACAGCTAGGCCTTTCACTTTGCACTTCTGTGTTGTGCAAGTTCTTGAAATAAGTTGGTCAACAATTTAACCAAATTGGGATCACTGATCAATAAAGTCTGTTTTCATTAAATATTGTAGAACTACTCTGTACATGGCCCTTCGCGGAGGTAGCCTTATGCAACAATTTTTGATTAACAGCTCAGGTCACCAGCCTCCATTCATTGATTCTAGTTAGACACGCCACCACAGCCCACAAACTGACTCTTGAGAATTGCCAGTCCACAGTCTACTATACAGGGTGGCCACCAACGGCATACTTCCACTACCTTGAGACTCAAACCAGCTGTACCAATGGATGGAGAATCTTCTTAGAAGAAATATGATACAATGATCTCCCGATTCGGTCCAGTAGTTTTTGCTGCAGATCCAATACTGTGAAGCACACATCTTTCATGGGGGTATTATTATACAAATATTGAGTGGCTCAGCGTGGAATGGGAGGAATATTATCACAAGGTAAAATCTTGACTTTTCTGTTTCAGGAGGCAAAGCTTCATGACATGGAAAGGTCTAGATTTTACCCAGCGATGATATTCCTCCCACTTCACAATTCCTCCAAATTTCAAGTTCCTAAGTAAAGTATTTCTCAGGTTATCGTGCTGACAAGAGTTAACCTAACCAAAAATACATGTAACACTCACACAGACATACATGTTTGTGTATGGTGTAAATCGAGACTTTTCTTTTGTTCATCTTCCCAAATGTGTGACTAAAAAGGCTTTGAAGAAAAACTTCGGGCCCCAGAAAACTATTGGACCGTTTTGCATCGTACAACCACATGATTGACACAGAGTCTTGCTGCTACCCGTGTCTGTACAGAAGTACGTCAAATACTTATCCAACTGTTCAGTGTCTTGTACAGATAACGTGGGGTAGAGAAACACAGCAGAAGTTTGCTCCCTGAATGAAGAGCTGAACAAAGAAGTGGTTCGCAGATGACAACGAAATCTAGCGAGACAAGTATGAATGGTGAGGATGACTGGAGGTTTATTCAGCAGCAGTACAGTTGGGAATTACAAGCTAACAGCTTGCCTCTCAAATATGATACTTGGAACAAAGTTTTTTCAGAAGCACACTCACCAGCAGTACAATTGTAACTAACAACTGCTCACGGGGCCACTTACTTTGGTAAAGTTTACAGTACCGTAGGTTATGACCCAAGATAGTAATGTAGCCAGGTCCTTGTGGATAGATTCAACTTCCTATTTGTTAGGAAAAAATTGGAATCTGCGTTCGAAGTCTGTGTTCGAAGACTGAGTTGTCAGATCTAGTGGCCCTCTCAAATCAACAAACTGCAAATGTGACACCAAGTTGTCACTGCTTCATGTTTTCTTGGAGGAAGCAACAGAGGAAGCAAGACCTGTCCATAGCATGGACATCAATTCCCAGAGAGAAGTGATGACCCCGTTAACTGGCTGGCTTGGGATGAGAACTAACTTCAAGTTTGATTGCTGGTTTAGTTGTCATTGAGAGAATACATACAGCACATGCATGGACAAGTGTTCCAGGATCAAGGCACCATGCGCTGTGTACTTATAGCAAGTTGGACCAACGACGCACTGTGATGTGGCTGCTCAGGAAATGCACATGATCTTGAAGAGCAAGTGTTTGATTTAAATACCTTCACAGGTGCACTGCATCGAAAACTGACATGTTCATGTATGTATATGGTCATTTTCACTCTGCAATTTAACTTGAAGATAGAGTGCTTTATAAAAAGAAAAAATCACATGATGATGTGTGGTATCCTATTTATATCTTAACTTGTTAGCTTCTTTGTTTCGTTCTCTTGGAGTAGATTTTCTCACAAGAACGTTGCCTCAAAACCGATTCCATGTTATTAATAAATTCACACGTTTACAAGCATTAAGACAAATATTGAAAGAAAAATATTGAAAGTACGGCTAGGCCTTTCAATGTGTACTTTTGTATTGTGAAGTTCTTAAAATAAGTCGGTTGAAAGTGTAACCATCTTGAGATCGCTGATCAGTCAATTTTTCCTTGTTAAGGGGCCATTCCAAATTTCGATGTTTTAAAATTTCCAAATTGTTTTTGACCCACCAACCCACCCACCCACCCCAATTTTCGATCTTAAACTTTTGATTTTCCATTCAATAAAAAACATAACGAATGTTCATTTCACTGACGGCGGAATGCAGCTGCAGTCCGTATACAGTACCTTTGCAACAACACGGCCCACTGGCATTCCCGTACGTATAAGGAATCCACCTGGAAACACGTACATGTACAACTAGTCCATTCTAAACGGTAATAAAAAGTGTCAGTTCGCTTAAAAAAAACCTTTTGTCTTGGCGTAAAGAGGTGTATTATTGACTCCCATTATTCATGAAGTTTATTTAAAGATTTCTGTCGTTTTTGATAGAAAAAAAAATTGGAACTCTCAACTCGCACTTTCCAGACGTGGGGGCGCTGCCATGTTCACTGCATGCATATATACCACGCGCATGCAATATGCATGCGGGTTGCCTAAGTAATCTTGAACACAAGTAGGTTTATTTCGTTGTCACGATTTCCAACCGACACTCGTGGCATGTATTAAGACAAAATGAACCTGGTATCCTGCTCCCTTTGCAAAACGCACTGAATTTACGCATGCTTTAAGTCTAACTTCACTGGTCCCCATGCATATGGTGCTCCGATGGGCGTAATACACAGTACATTGTACATTGTACATGTACCGGATGCATACTGTATCCGTACGGTACGGGCAAAGAGTTTACAAATCGGAATGCAGAGAGTTGAATTGGCAAGTCAAAAGAGCTATTTTCTATCTTTTTAATTGGAAAAAGTGAATTTTCGATTTACAAAAATTTCAATAAATCAATTTGACCCACCCACATTTTGGAGAAAAAAAACATCAAATTTGAAAACATCCAAACTTTTGAAAGGGCCCCTAAAGGACTTTTGTAGAACCACTCTGAAAGTGGCTATAATATTAATAAGAGGGCACTGTTTACAATATGAACCAGAAGGAAGTGATGGCTCTTACAGTTCACTGGTTCCCATTCACAACTTCTCATTCATTAGCACTAAAGAATCCTTGCATACCAATGAACCCAGAGTTATTATGAATATGGCAAAGATGGTGATAATGTTCCCTCCCCTAACAAAATGGGGCAGTTATGCAAGCCCTCTCCCACGAGCCATCTATGTTTCATACACCATATCCAGTTGCAAATTATATGGTTACCAGCCCTTTCCCTGCACCTCTTTCATTTTAGGTCAGAAAATTGGATGGGAACAATTTTCAAGTTGAGTTATCGATGTTGGAATAGTTCAGCTTTCAAGATTTGGGGTAGCGGCGATGTGTTAAGGCCCAACAGATAACCCTTGGAGGTGGTACTGTGTGTATTTATTTGAAAATTCCCCCTTACAGGGTTGGTGGAGAAAGGGCCCGTGGGTAGGAGGCAGTAACAGATCTAGAGAGGGGAGGGGGTGGGGGCAGAAGGGGTGGGGGCTGGGGTGTTGCAACTCCCCCATTCAGTCGCTAACTAATAAAACTAATGAAATGGGGTCAAAATAATATACAGCAGTGGCGTAGCATGGTCATCTTTATTGGGGGACACATTTTTTGAAAAGGGCACTTGCACATCTGGGGTAAAATGGCATCAGTTTTTTTTCTCCGAACACTTGGCCTCCGTAAAATCCAAAGGGGGAGGGGGGGGGGCCTGGTACCATCTCAATGGGGGCGTTGTTCAAAACCAAAGATTATGCACACAAAGGGCCAATATTTGGTG